TTTACGTTCTTGATCAAATCGAAAATAACGTCATAGAACATATATACATGAAAAGTACATTTACAACATTAGTACTTATACAAAATTCAGGTCCATAATGTTTGTACGCGTTTATCGTAGACACAATAGCATAACTAGTAGCCTAGTAGCTACAAAGCCAGCGCTGGCATTTGAAAAAAATAAAACACAAGGCTACGTCTGGAATTATACATGCAAATACATTTAAAATGATGAAGTCTTAGCCTACTTACAGGTTGTGGCCCAACAACTGCTGCCTCTGGTTTTAAAGTTGAAACTGCTTCACGTTTTAGTAACAGTTTCTCGTTGAATCCGGTGTTGAACTCGTGGAGATTCTGGAAGCTGTCTTCCGTAAAAAGCGCAGCACAGAGAGCTAGATTACGATCGTCATTTTCAGGAACATAATCAAACATAAATTGAATCCATTGTTGACGAAGTACAGCGTCTGTGGGAAGCTCGAACACAGAAGACCTGACAGCTGCGTGAACAACACACTCGACGAGCCGCAGAAATATGGCCATGCCCTTTCCTGCATATTCCGGAGGGAGTGGTTGATGTAAATGTGTGGGTTAGTGACGTCTAAAACCCAGCTGTAGTCCCAAATTATCGAGTTGTTTTTGTAGGCAATTATACTTCCTGATTTTTAAAAGATGATTTCTCTGCTTACACTGAACTTTCAGCGCTGCAACTGCAGATACTGTTCATGCACCAACAGCAACATTACACACTATTTAAAATGAAAAAAGTGAAATCGCAGTCAACCCCCCCCCCCCTTTAAAAAAAATATCATACTTTATGATGTTAGTTTTAATAAAAATATAATTAAAAAATTAAATCAAGGAAATTTCTTTGCAATTTCTTTTTGCTGTATCAGAAACGCACCAAACCGAACCGAGCCGAGCCGAACCGTGACACAAGTGTCTCGTATCGAACCGAACCGTAAATTTTGTGAACCGTTACACCCGTAATCTGCACACATGGCATTTCTTTAGAATCTCTTCCCATCTCCATCTTTAGGCCCACAAATTATAACCTTATTTATAACTTGTAAAAGACCAATTGCAAATTCCTAGCACCAATACTAATACAAACATTTACACCCAGAGCCGGCTTCAGACCGCTTTTAGCAGGGGGGCATTTATTTTCAATGGGTGGGCACTAGGTATGGGGACTTTTTTTCCGATATTAGATATCCTATATTTATTATTGCTACTGCCTTTTCTGTTAGCTATTAACATGAAGTAATGCAACCCACACAATAAACACATAAAACATTACACATTGTTGCAAGACGAGCGACTCTTAAGAAATTTGATCAAGGGTTAAATAGGCCTATACAAAAAAAAAATTGCAAGACCGACTCTGACCACAGCTTTATAATAGCAAAGCTAACGAACATGTACACAGTCTCTCACTGACAGAATAGCCGTTTATATGCTATCTCAATGGCGGAAGTGAGAAAAAAAAAAGCTAAGTTACTCATCTTTATTCTGCTATGTTCTAACATAAGCATTTACATTCGTAGCCTTAAAAAAGCATCATGTAGTTACCTTTATCAAATAAAACCTTTAACACCTTTAACAAATAAAAAACCCCCACAACATACACAGATATTATTCTACAATTTCCATTTACAAGAAAATATAGGCTTAAACACCTGTTTCTCCACGGCGGGAGTGAGTGACATTTCAGGACAATGGGCAGCGCAAAAACTAGGCCAACTAAACTATTAGTTTCATCACGTGACAACACATAGTGAACATTACAGTACATGCCAGTTAGATAAATAGCTACACTTACGACTCGGACTCGACTGTCTTTGGTCTCGGTCTCGACTACAACACTGCACGGTAGAAGCACCAAATACCAAAGCCGGGCTGTCGTTGTCTTGCTGTATGGGGTAATCGATGTGTAAGGAGAAACTGTGGTATTGAACCATTTTCTAATTTCCATTTTTGGAGAGTTTTCATCTGTTTACTTTGTTTTGAATGCAGGAAGCTCGCGCGGTCGCGCCAACTGAAAATCATTTCATTCAGGTATTAACGTGCGTGATTGGGGGGGCGGCAGGGGGGTTTCCTCACAGCGTCACACTGGTTTTTATGTTGGCTTTATTGTATTTTCAGCTAATGAGCCGTTTGTAGACATATATTTGTACTATTTCTCACTGAAATGTGAATTAAATTAAACTGATATTATTTTGTAAATTATATCATAATTCAATTTGGGGGGGGCACAAAATAGCGCCGGCACTGTTTACACCTAGTATTAACTTCCACCTCATGTCTTATTACAAATGGTCATAAGACAGTTTACACCTGATATACCAACGCATTCTCATCCCAAGGCGTCATATACCAAAGCGTAGACATCCAACGCACATGGCACCCTTTAGCGTCAAATGATACGCTTCGGTCATGGTAGGTTTAAGTCTGGGGTAGGGTTAGGGTTAGACCACTAGGAGGCGCCTTCTGGCCCATATATATCTGCGTCTCATTTGACGCTAAAGGGTGCCATGTGCGTCGTATATGACACCTTGGGATGAGAATGGGCTCGATATACAGGTGTCAAATGTGTCACCTGTGAGCTTTCATGCTGGGCTCTCTGATTGCTTACTCACCACCTATGTTATCAGGCATATACAGTTTCTTGTGCACATATCTGTTTGGGCTTTTCCAGATTATGTGGCTGGCAATATTGAAATGTCTTTTGGCTCAAGAATGATATGAGTGGGTCTATCTGTTGCTCTTGCACTGAAGAACATTCGCTGGCCACTTCATTGCTGCAAACTGCTGACAGAATGAACAATTCTGGCACTTCATGCCAAGCTCCTTATTTTTCTTACTGAAATTCTTTAAAGGCTGTGGACTTTAACGTCTTTGTTAGCTCCCTACTCCCATGTCTGCTATCACGAGTTCAAGCCCAGCTCGGAGGGAGCCGAGAGGAACTGGTAACAATGGTGCTTTGACCCTGACATGATTTAGGTTTCGAGGGGGGAATGTAATACAGGCTAGCTGACGTGAGATAGCTGTGAAGGCAAACCTCACTGTCCTGGACTCAAAAGGTGCACTAGTGACCAGTGTTGGTCAAGTTACTTGGAAATAGTAATTAGTTACTGATTACTGATTACTTCTCCAAGAAAGTAATCCAATTACTTTACTGATTACTTATTTTCAAAAGTAATTAGTTACTTTACTAAGTTACTTTTCAAAAACATAATGCACGACCTGAATACACTAAAGCATAGACCTTTCAGCCTAATTCTATTCTTTCTGCATATTCCATCATCTAAAATGTAATCAAATTAAACATTCTCTTTTTTTAAACTCGTTTTATTTGTTTCAATATTTTAACTTTATGCACATTGCATCAAGCAAAAATTAAATTAATGCAACAGTCTCAGACTAGAAGAAAACTGTTGAACATTTAAACTTATATTTTCTGCACATTCCACCATATTTTAATGAAAAAGACAGCCCCTCTTCTGTTAATATAAATTTCTACATATTCCAGCATATAAAATAAACATATTTTGTAAAATCCTTCATTTGAATAGATGTAAAAATACAATAAAATCATGAAAGTCGCTCCTGACTATATTACAATGTATTAACACTTACGTCTTTTAACAGTAAAGTGCAGAGAGGAGTAAAAATTAGTTTAATCAAAACAGAAAATGCTGTTGCATGCCGTATTTTGGCTTCAAGTTTTTTTTTTTTTTTTTTTTTTTCTTTCTTTTTCGGAGTTAAACAGTGGTGGATGTACCATCAGCATGTAGCCGCAGCGGTCATGTCAGACGGGGGTTCAGGGTTTTTTTCAGTAAGTTTCACATTAGTGTACTGGCTTGCTGCTTTACGTGTGAGACTGTTTCGTGACATGCTTGCTCAGATTTGAGGTAGAATTTAGACATTCTCCAACGGGGGTCCTGTTTCCAGATCAGGATGCTCTCTGCATAGTACGCAAGTCTCTCTCTCGCTCTCCTCGTCGTGCGCGCGATACGAAGTTTGGACTTTGGAACACAGTCTCGCATGCGCGCTCGCTCTAGATTCCGGGAGATTTTAACTAATTTGCGGTATAACTAGTCAATCACAAATGTGGCTCAACGGTTAGATTTATAGATAAACTCATCTTTCAGGCATTTGACCGACGGGATTGACACTTCAGCGCGAGAAATCGGGGGGGTGTCGTGTGAGCGTGTGTGAGAGTTGGCAGCTCGGCTGCTCTCTCCCGTGCTCTAGTCGTCTCTCACTGATGTCGCGGCGCTCATACATCATTTTTATTCCCGCACGACTCATGTCACGAGACGGTCTGACTAAACAAAATCACGGTCAACTAACGCAGTAACGCAGGCTGTTTACGGGGAAGTAACGGTAATCTAATTACTGTTTTTTCCAATTGTAATCCCTTACTTTACTCGTTACTAGAAAAAAGTAATTGGATTACAGTAACGCGTTACTTCTAACGCGTTACTGCCCATCAGTGCTAGTGACTGATGCTAGACGCTAGCGTGTGCAAGCGAAACCAATGACGCAAATGGTATTTATTCAACCCGATCTCACGACCAAGTCGTACGAATTCGACGAATGATTAAAAAGTGGCTAATTCGTAACAATTCATACGACCTCACTCGTACGAATTAATACGATTTTGCTAAATCGTACATATTTTACGAATTGGCCAATTCGTATGAATTCATACGAATGACCTACCCCTTACCCCGCCCCTAAACTTAACCATCACGTGGGTTTAGACAAATCGTAGTACGAGTGAGGTCGTACGAATTAGTACGAATTAGACACTTTTTAATCATGCGTCGAATTCGTACGAATTGGTCATGAGATAGTGTTGTATTTATTGCATTTACAACCTGTCTTCTTCTCACTATTAAAAAGCCAACTCTTTTCTTGATATACTGTGTGCTTTAGCTTGCTGTTATTTCCAAATTATACATTCTAAAATGCAATGCCTTTTTTTGTGCTTACCAGGTGACCCATCTTTTTGATAATGGAGGCACAGTCTTCTTTGCTATCTTCATGGCAATATGGGGTGAGTCTGAATCTTTTCATCTAATCATTACTCTTTCCACCAGCAGACAGACAAACAGGTCAGAGATTGGTTTGAAGTACAAATGAAATAATTATAAAAGAGACTTCCTTCAGTGGGCAGGTAAGAATCTATACCAGCCTTTGTTCTGCTATAAAAGGATTGACTTAAAAGCTGTAATCAATCACCGCTTTGTCCCACATTACAACAAATGATACAATCAGGTCACAGTAGACCGCACTCACAGCTCAAACATTTAAATATTTCAAAAGTGCTTAGACTTTAGTTTACTCCTCTGAACAAGAGCAGTGATAAATGGATGTGTTGAAGAATCCCTGGTGGCGATTTTGTGCTTGATAATTGTGGCCTCATTATTCAGTCTGATTGACTGACTACAGCCAATGAAACACTTCCCTGGAGTGAAATGAAAGTATATTAATGTGAACAGACATAATGGTGGATTTACTGCTGTGGATATTTTCCTTTAAATGTGACATTAAACAAATGGCAGTTTAACTAACTTTGTAAGTAAAAAAAATATTTTCAAACTGTTGCTGCACGATAACGGTAATTGAAAGGGAAAACACACTATAAAAGTTACCACTAATGCCCACTTGTGTCAGTGCTTATTACTGTACACTAATTTCCCTTGTGGCAATCCTTATAATTGTGTTACAGTTTATGATATATTCCAGAAGGCGTGAAATTGAAGTAGCATAGCTGCAGTACACTAGCCTGGGAAAACCCAGACAACTTCTTGCAAATTTAGAAGACTTGAAGTTAGTCTGACAAAAAGCTCATTCAAACCCATTTCCAATCTGTCGAAATCGAGGCACTAATCAGAAACGTTGGGACGGGCTTTACACAATGATGACAGCGCTGAGATTTTGAAGCAGATTTTGTAGCCTACATTACAATGGATGCCGGCATCAAACATCACTCGTTCGAATCAGCTATCATGTCTGATTTAAGCGATTTGAACGTTTCCTTTTTTGTTAAAAACCGAGCAAAGAACAACACTCAGAGATGTTTCTTCGCCAATCTTCATACGTCATCTCCTTCATCGCTCTGATTGGTTTTAGGTCTACCCACGACGTCCGTTGGAAATGATTTGTCTATGACGCTTTGCCAGACGATTACTCAGTTACAACTGAGAATGGTCTGGTTTGAACCAGGCTAATATGTGTTTCCATTCATATATTTTGTAATTTTTTTTGTGTGTGTTTTTGATTCATCTGTGCAAGTTTTGCAGGTGCAGAACTATACAGTAGGTGACGTGTGGAATCTAATCGAAGCAACTTATTAATCACAGCCATATTTTTATCTGCTGGCTATAAAAAATAATGCATGACACAGATGCCGCTAACGCTATCACATTTAGGCTAGCTGCAATAAAGCTGTTTAGTTTAACATAAAATAGGTTACTATAGGCTACTAATTGCAATAGGCATATACTGCTTAATTCTACAAAAAAACTAATTGTAAATAGTGAACAAAAACATGTAAATGGGGATTCTGACACTCATATTTCCATTATTTATTTTTTATTTAGCATTTAATGCCAACTTTAAGGCAAGGCACGTTTATTTATATAGCACATTTCATACACAATGGCAATTCAAAGTGCTTTACATGGAAGAAATTAAAATAATCAAAAGAAATCAGAATAATTAAAACAGTTTAGAATAAAATATAAGAAATAATGAAAAATAAAAATTATGATAAAAATGAAATACAGTATCAGAGATGTTTGTACCTGACTAAAGGCATACTGTAAATGGTGATTGCTTCCGTCAGTGTTACCTCATTCACTATTCTGTGGATATGCACAAACATAGTAGGAATAACATAGATTGTCTCAGATCACTCAGTTGGAGTCAGAGCGTGTCAACCTTGCAACTAATAGACTGCTTATTGGAGCCAATCTCTAAGCCCAAGGGCAGGCGAAAAAAACCCTCAAAAGCCCCAAGAGCAAAAGCTTTGCCAATATTTTGATAAATCCCCAAGGGAGTAGCTTATCAAAGGGAGTTTTTCAACAAATACCTTCTATCTACCACTTCCAAGGGGGGGAATATAACCTTCACTTCATCAGAAGGGATGCAAATATGAGTGTGGCACAGAATAAAGCCAAAAAACTCTTGTCATTGCAACTCATCCCATAGGGAAACCACTGAGGAGCTTAGGCTCTACTTAACCTGGAGTCACTGGGGGGGCACGCTCAACCCTACTTGTTCTTTTACGGGCACCACAAGGAGACTTCATGCACTCATCTGACTATAGAATGCAGCAAAAACAAGATGGGAGGTTATTTGTTTCATGTTTTCCGTGCCCTCTCTTGATGGACATCTTGGTTGCGTCGCTGTTGACCAGGAGATTTTACTTACCCTCTTCATTGAAGCTGAAGCAGTGGTGTCATCTTCTCTGTTGCTAGCCGTGGTCAATCATTTCTTTTTTTAAGTCTTCCCTCGCCTCTGTGGCGCTGTTCTAAACAATCGGACCATCCTCAAAAAACACCCGAAGTTTAGCGGGGGGTGGTGACTGGAAACGGAGAGCCTTCTCTTTGAGTATTTCCCTGATAGGAGTTTTATGCCTTCCTCTTCTTTGGAGTCTCAGTGGGGTAAACCTGGTCGAAGTACACTCGCCTCCCTCGCCTTCACTCTTTTTCCATGCCGAACAGAGGACCAGCTCTTAAATCCTATATTCAAGAAAGTACAAAAAAAACGATTCTGGGATTCGCATTTGGCGGTGGCTTGCGGCTGATCGCCCTGTGACTGTATCCCAACTTCAGAATCGGGGAGGGACAATTCCGTCTTGATGAAACTTTCAACAAACTCCTGTATGTTGTCACCTCCGGCCTCCTCCGGGATTTCGTACAAGCTTATATTGTTTCGTTGTGATCTTGCTTCTAAATCTGTCAGCTTTGTTTGCATTTTTTGTTGAACATCAAGGTTTGGCAAAGCACTTCTCCAGCCTCCGTGCTCCACTCTTCTAAATCCGCCACCCGTTCGGCTTCCTCCACTCTATTCACCGCGTCTTTCAGATATTTAGCAATTTCGTTCAGTTTAAAGTTGATGTTTTAAGGTCAGGCTTGCCAAGTCAGTTTTCCAGTCTCTGGTGAAAGTCTCTTGAAAGCTGTTTAGTTCTGTCTTCACGTCAGATCGGATAGCCTTAATTTCAGAATATATAGGGCTGATGCAAACTTGCATTGTTTCCGCAGCCTCGTTCACACCATTGTTGTCATCGTCGTCATCGTCGTCTCTGTTTTCTCAGGTCTTTGGGATGATTTGCCTCTAGCTTTTCGTTGTTTCTTCTCCTCCATATTTGTTCATCAATTCATAAAGTTAAATAAAACAGGGGAGTTTAACCGATTTGTCTGGGAGCTCGCGTTCTACACTGCCACTCGCCTTGACTCGCCAATATAAAATTCACTTTAAAGGATTAGTTTTTAAAAAACTTTTGCTAATAATTTACTCACCCCCATGTCATCCAAGATGTCCATGTCTTTCTTTCCTCAGTCGAAAAGAAATTTAGGTTTTTGATGAAAACATTCCAGGATTTTTCTCCATATAATGGACTTCAATGGGAACCGGATGGTTCAGGTCCAAAAGACAGTTAATAACAGTTACAGATGCAGCTTCAAATGTCTTTAAACGACACCAGACGATGAATAAGGGTCTTATCATGCGAAACGATCGGTTATTTCAATGCTTACTCCAAAAATGTAACTTTTCTAAGGACAAATGCTAGCCTTTCTCCATTCTGTGAGGCGCGTTTGCAACGTCACGTAATACGTAATTACGTTCAAAAGGTCACGGGCGACGTAGCCAGAAGTACAGAGTCAGAGTGTTTACAAGTTGAACGCATAGGTTGAACGTGAAAACTAACTCAAACGCCGTTTACAAAAAAGGAATTAAAAGGTAAAACAACGATGTCGGACGATTTTGATTCTGTACTTCCGGCTACGTCGCCCGTGACCTTTTGAACGTAATTACGTATTACGTGACGTTACAAACGCACCTCACAGAGTAGAGCAAGGCTAGCATTTGTCCTTAGAAAAGTTACATTTTTGGAATAAGCTTTGAAATAACCGATCGTTTCGCATGATAAGACCCTTATTCATCGTCTGGTGTCGTTTAAAGACATTTGAAGCTGCATCTGAAACTGTTATTAACTGTCTTTTGGACCTTGAACCATCCGGTTTCCATTGAAGTCCATTATATGGAGAAAAATCCTGGAATGTTTTCATCAAAAACCTTAATTTCTTTTCGACTGAGGAAAGAAAGACATGGACATCTTGGATGACATGGGGGTGAGTAAATTATCAGCAAAAGTTTTTTCAAAAGTGAACTAATCCTTTAAATAACTGACAGTCTTTTCACTTTTTTCAGTGTACGACATAACTGAGAGGGCTTCAACGCACCTCTTAACATAATCATGTCATGCTTTGACCTCCACATAAATCACTATAGATAACGTTACGGGATGCAATTACATTTGCACCAGATAGAAAAAAAATGATACGCTGTAAATTATGAAAAAAAATAAAGGCAATCCATATGCATAGGAACAGTAGAAACCTAAGATTTTTGCATTAAAATATCCCAAAATCACAAGGCCAGTGTTATATATTTAGTTAAGATGATTACTTACAATATTCCAAATGTTTCAAACAATGTTTAAATCGCGATAAAATTGCTATTTTAACCAAGGAAACGGGGCGTGTGAGCAGGGGTGAGCTGGGAGTCGCCTGTCAATCGCGTCATATCCGCGTTACCTCGGTTTCCGCTCGTACTGCGTGTAGTCCTGGACAAATGTGGAAGTTGTAGTTGTGCGTTAGCGTCTATCAAGCAACAAACGTCAGGTTGTTTCGCGCATTTGTTATGGAACGGAGCACAATTATTCTTTAGCGACTGCACCTGGTTCTGTCGACAAAGACAAGTCTCATAAACGCAAACGTCAACGAACGGTTTAACCAAACGACCCAAGAAGAATTTGGGACAAGAGAAATAAAACCAGCTCAACATCGGCGTGGCATTTCCTAAATGGAGAGAACTTCGTGAAAAACTCGAACTAGAAAGAGACGCCGATCTTGCATGTGTTTTACTTGACAGGTGAGTAACTCTGTGTTCTGTATTCAGTAAACGATGCAAAACAATTAGTATTATTGTTAGAATGTCTTGTTGTTTATGCATATGATGTGAAAAATCGTAAGGTCATATTCATCGCGAATACTTCTCGGAATGTGAACTGTTGGCTGTATCTTAGAAAACGACGTTTATCTGAAAAGTGTTTCAACCGTCCCGGCTCTCCCCCAACATCTGTGATAACTAATTTACTTTTAAACCTGACTTTTCTTGCGGTTATTTCAATTTAATGAAAAAATAAGCATGTCATTAAACGCAACAGTTATAGAAATCGAACTTTACCTCATCCATGACAACTAATTTTCGATTCCCGTCTGACTGATTTATCCACGGTGGAGTTGAAAACAACAGTTCCCATCATTCCGCGTTCCTCCACGGCGTCATCAAGCAAAGCAGTTGTTGTTGTTTTGAATGTAGCGCCCTCTAGCGGCATAAAATCTTAGGTATTGTAGCTTTAAGGAGGGTGATAATACCCGAGGAAATCTTCCATTTATCTCAGTGGAAATTGCTCGGCTAATGGATGGCAATTGATTTTCTACTTGTGCTATTGATTTGCTTTTATTAGATACTATGTTATTCATCCCACTGCATAGACTTTATTAAACAAGAAATATGAGACAAATTGTGCCATATAGTGATGCAATACATGACGCATCATCTGTAAATAATGTTTTATGTGATGGGTACTAACCAAAAAGTTTCATTTAGCGCTTCGCTTCACAGAGTCTAAAAAAAATTGGGACCATACTGTTCCTGATAGAGACCCAGGGGGGTCTGCATGTCGAATTCCTGAAAGTTCATATGTTAAGACAGCTCTTTCTCTCTCTCTTTCTCTCTCCATCCAGCTCTTTTGCTTTGAAACAAAAGTGGGTCATGAAGTCCTTTGGTAGAAATGTTTGATGTGAACTTAGTAGTGTAGTTTTGTTCACTTTTTACATTTAACATGAAAACCTCACAGTACTTAACTTAGTTTTACTTCATTTATTTAGTATTATTTATGAAAAGTCATGCTTCTGAATAAACTAGCTGATTACATTCTGTAAGCAAGATTGAATTTGAATGTCTACCAGTGAGTTGAAACAATTATAAGATGAATCGATTCGATTCCAAAATTCTGATTGAATGAACATTCAAAGCTGGCGTGAAATGCGGATAAACACATCTCTGATAACATGTTGTGGGGTGAACGAAACCAACTAGGTGTGTGGATAAGACATATTATGTACTTTATGAACACAAAAACAAAACCAGCAGAAATTGTGGAGTGGAATGCATAGTTCAAATGCATAATCAACTCAAATGCATAATAAAATGCATAGTTGAAGAACTTATATTCATGTACGTACATTGAGTATGTGTAGGCCTAAAGGGACCTGCCCTATTCACCTTAAAGGATTAGTTCACTTTTGAAAAAACTTTTGCTGATAATTTACTCACCCCCATGTCATCCAAGATGTCCATGTCTTTCTTTCTTCAGTCGAAAAGAAATTTAGGTTTTTGATGAAAACATTCCAGGATTTTTCTCCATATAATGGACTTCAATGGGAACCGGATGGTTCAAGTATCAAACGACAGTTAATAACAGTTTCAGATGCAGCTTCAAATGTCTTTAAACGACACCAGACGATGAATAAGGGTCTTATCATGCGAAACGATCGGTTATTTCAAAACTTATTCCAAAAATGTAACTTTTATAAGGACAAATGCTAGCCTTGCTATATTCTCTGAGGCGCGTTTGTAACGTCACGTAATACGTAATTACGTTCAAAAGGTCACGGGCGACGTAGCCGGAAGTACAGAATCAAAATCGTCCGACATCGTTGTTTTACCCTTTAATTCCTTTTTTTGTAAACGGCGTTTGAGTTAGTTTGCACGTTCAACCTATGCGTTCAACTTGTAAACACTCTGACTCTGTACTTCTGGCTACGTCGCCCGTGACCTTTTGAACGTAATTACGTAATACGTGACGTTGCAAACGCGCCTCACAGAATGGAGAAAGGCTAGCATTTGTCCTTAGAAAAGTTACATTTTTGGAATAAGTTTTGAAATAACCGATCGTTTCGCATGATAAGACCCTTATTCATCGTCTGGTGTCGTTTAAAGACATTTGAAGCTGCATCTGAAACTGTCTTTTGGACCTTGAACCATCCGGTTCCCATTGAAGTCCATTATATGGAGAAAAATCCTGGAATGTTTTCATCAAAAACCTTAATTTCTTTTCGACTGAAGAAAGAAAGACATTGACATCTTGGATGACATGGGGGTGAGTAAATTATCAGCAAAAGTTTTTTCAAAAGTGAACTAATCCTTTAAACACTGTGACTAATGCCTTTAAGTCCAACTGTCCTGTATTCCAAAGCTCTATGTTCATATCCAACCGCTTCCTCCTGTACCATCACAGCCACAGTATTCCTTGAGTTCTGGAAGAGGAGAAGAGCGGAGTTAACCTACGATTGGGATTTGATTGACTGGGAGGAGGAGGAGGTGAGCCTGCCTTCCTGCCTTTCAGCTGGAATTGTGTTGCTTGATGTTATAATGTCTTTCCAAATAGACCTGTTAAAATGACCATTAAGCTCATTAACGATTGTAACTGGTGTGTGGCCAATCTATGTGCTGTTTGTTGTATTTCCTATAGTGTAAAATCCCTGTCATGGTGTGTTCTGTGAGTGTGCCTCCTACTGTATAATGTTTTGTTGTGCATGCTTAGCTCCCAATGGGAATACGTCTTAAGGGTGTTCACACTGATTAGTTCTAACAAAACATCTGGTTTAACTTTAACAAGCAAATGAGCTGTGACGTGATTCGGCGTCTGCCGACGGGAGTATACAGTACGTCTTCTGTTGGATGCTGTAGTCAAGTGTCAGCAAGATGGAAGGGAAATAGGTTTTGCTTCAACCCAGGCTATTTGGAAAAAAGTGCCTGTAGCGATATTTCTTCAAAATCATATTACTTTGTTTCTAGCACATTGCGCAAAAGTGTCAAAGTGAAATGTCCAGTGAGTGACGCTTAAAAAAGTGTGTTCAGTTTCATCTTAAACCGATAATAAATGTGAATCTGGGAATGTTTTATTATGCTGGTTGTTATACATATCACAGCAGTTTGGAAATGAAATACCTAGTGAGTGGTTCTAAAAGATACATACTCGCATTTGATAATAACGTATTACCTACACTACTTCTGCTTACCCTTACGACCAAACTGATGAGAACATGAAACATGAGAACACACATTTGCTGAAACAACCATGCAATTATACCTTGCTTCTTTAGTGTTCAAGCTCTTTTATTGAGTGTTGTGACTAGCGTTTCATGGGATTCGTAGTGCTCCATGTGGTCTTACTGTGTCAGAATAACACAGTCTCATCCCAAAAAGTCATATAACTGACGTTTTGGGACGTATTTTGACCATACGTCAATATCAGCCTTTTTAGGGCCCCCTTAAACGTCGGTAGATGGCGATCCCGGGCCGTCATACAACTGACGCTTTACCTTTAACGTCAGTTAGGTGACGGGGTAGGTTTAGGGTTAGGTTTAGGTATGGGGTAGAGTTAGGATCCCATAACCTCATCTACCGACGTTTAAGGGTACCCTAAAAAGGCGAATATTGACGTATGGTCAAAAGACGTCCCAAAACGTCAGTTATATGACGTCTTGGGGTGAGACCGGGTTGGTCAGAAAAGCCATGTACACTCACCTAAAGGATTATTAGGAACACCTGTTCAATTTCTCATTAATGCAATTATCTAATCAACCAATGAAATGGCAGTTGCTTCAATGCATTTAGGGGTGTGGTTCTGGTCGAGTCAATCTTCTGAACTCCAAACTGAATGTCAGAATGGGAAAGAAAGGTGATTTAAGCAATTTTGAGCGTGGCGTGGTTGTTGGGGCCAGACGTCTGCACAATCTGCTCAGTTACTGGGATTTTCACGCACAACCATTTCTGGGGTTTACAAAGAATGGTGTGAAAAGGGAAAAACATCCAGTATGCGTCAGTCCTGTGGGCGAAAATGCCTTGTTGATGCTAGAGGTCAGAGGAGAATGGGCCGACTGATTCAAGCTGATAGAAGAGCAACTTTGACTGAAATAACCACTCGTTACAACCGAGGTATGCAGCAAAGCATTTGTGAAGCCACAACACACACAACCTTGAACAGCAGAAGACCCCACCGGGTACCACTCATCTCCACTACAAATAGGAAAAAGAGGCGACAATTTGCAAGAGCTCACCAAAATTGGACCGTTGAAGACTGGAAAAATGTTGCCTGGTCTGATGAGTCTCGATTTCTGTTGAGACATTCAGATGGTCGAGTCAGAATTTGGCGTAAACAGAATGAGAACATGGATCCATCATGCCTTGTTACCACTGTGCAGGCTGGTGGTGGTGGTGTAATGGTGTGGGGGATGTTTTCTTGGCTCACTTTAGGCCCCTTAGTACTAAAATGGCCCCCACAGTCACCAGATCTCAACCCAATAGAGCATCTTTGGGATGTGGTGGAACGGGAGCTTCGTGCCCTGGATGTTCATCCCACAAATCTCCATCAACTGCAAGATGCTATCCTATCAATATGGGCCAACATTTCTAAAGAATGCTTTCAGCACCTTGTTGAATCAACGCCACGTGAGAATTAAGGCAGTTCTGAAGACGAAAGGTGGTCAAACACAGTATTTGTATAGTGTTCCTAATAATCCTTTAGGTGAGTGGTGAATCCTTCAAGAGATTGTCTTGAGCAGGACCACACCCCTAAATACATTGAAGCAATTGCCATGTGATTGGTTGATTAGATAATTGTATTAATGAGAAATTGAACAGGTGTTCCTTATAATCATTTAGGTGAGTGCATATACAAAACCAACTCACCCATGTTCCTCGAAAGATTTCTGCATCCCTCCACCACTATGTCTCCTCACTCTCGCCTAGTTTTTATCCCAGCCCTCGGACAGCACACCAAATACATTTGTTTGTAAGTGTGAACTTGTGAAATATTAGTTTAGAAATCATGCAGTACGGTAAAAAATGTTTTGAGGTCATTCAATAGTCTTGCGCTAGGAACCACGTCAAAATCCATAGATCAATAATCTGCCCCATAATCATAATTTGTGTGAAAACTCATGCTACTCATGTCATTTCAGATGAAAACTGCACTGAATTATATGTATAGTTAAGTTTTTGAAGTTTAGCTAAAATAAGGCAGATAAAGGCACGTTTTTCCAATGAGCCTATACTCTCAGCAAAACCCAACCATAGCCAGATTTACAGTTATATTCACTTTCCGTGATAAAATCTCAGTGTGAACAGCCCTTCTTGAATCATATATCACACATCAGCATGCGCAGAGTGACGGCGAATTCATGTATTGAGCATTGTTTTTTAGTTTTTTTAATTTGTGTGATGCGTGAACGTTTAAAGCGTTTGAGGGAACACCTCAAAATAATCCAGAGATCAAAGTGATCAGATGTGGTTGGATTCTTGCTCTGGTGTTTGCATTCGTTGCCCAGTAGAATTCTGTTGTTGCTAGTTTCTGTATAATGGTGGTTCTCAAACTGGTTCATGCACCTGAAGCATTTTACAAACCTCTTTTCCACCAAGACGGTGCTGATTCTTGTGCCAGAGGTGGTGCTAAGCCTTGCAATTTCAAGAACCGCAGCGATAACGGTCATGAAGCTGTGGTAGTTTTTTTGTTTTTGTTTTTAATAGCTACTTTTTACTGCAGATGTTAACATAGCAGCTAGTTAGCCATAAGGTTATTAGAAAAATGCAATCTAAGTTCTAATTGATAATTGGTTCCTGGTTCCACATCAGATTTAGATATTAGGGCTGGCGTGGAACCAGCTTTCTCGGTCCGGAACCCGGTGGAAATGGAATGGGAACTAGCACCAGAACTAATGCTGGTGGAAAAGGGGCACTTAAATTTATTTAAAAACATCTTACATTTATTTCCCATATTTTACGTATTTCAAATTTGTAATCATTTTAAAATAACGTATTTCAACTAAAAATTAAGGTTCTGCCTTCTTTTATCTTCTCACTCATGTCATTCTAAATCGTATGACTTTTATTCTTCCACAAAACTGTGGAATTTTTATTCTCATGCGTAATGACATTTTGGTCTGGTCTTCACGTAAAGTTATCGAATGACTTAATAAGGCTTGACTTAAATGTAACACACTATTTTCACTGACTACATTTGTGCTTTCTGCCTATTTTGGAGCTTAACTTTCATGTTTTTAAGAGCAACATGATCAGTCTTAGAAACATATTTTGTGTTTCAAGTAAGAAAGAAAGCAATATGGGTTCGGAATGACAGAATTTTCATTTCATTGAGTGAACTAATCCTATTATCTTTGTTTTTAATATGTATCCTATGTTCTTACATCGACATTGGTACACTGAAGAGTAAGGGTGATACTTGGACGGTGTATTTCGATCAGACGTGATAATTGGCTTGAAAAGTTTGAGAACTGCAGCCGTATACAGTCCCTTATATATTTAACTGCCATTTTGCAGAATGTACTAATACATGTATATCATGTTCAGGCACTGATGTTAACTCATTCAGCTCATGTGAACAACTTCTGGATGACATCATCACTGGCCATCATGCCCAGCCAAAGCAGATGATGATGCTGAACATCTGTGTGTGATGAGATTCATTCATGAAAGCTGTACAAATATCTTCAAACAAATGTTTTATGAGTAATATGATGTGTTTGTTAAAAAGGAGGAACTACGGCCCCAGTTTGAAGCCAAATACTCCCGGAAGGAGAGAGTGAACCCTATCTCAGGGAAACCAGAGCCCTTCCAGCCCTTCACAGACAAATTCAGCCGACTCATGGTGTCTGTTTCGGGAATCTTCTTCATGGTAAGATTCAGTGTTCACAATATCCCTATAGAGCTATACCTCAGTCAGAACAGAATTATTGTCACCCGTCATGAAAATTTGTAACAATTCCATAAAAAAATGTTTTCACTCTTTTTTTTTTAAATGTCCTTGTTATTGTGTAATTACACATCAGTTAACAATATGCACTAGGGTAAGCTGTTGTTTGTTATGCATCATTTTCTGTTATTTCTATAGTAAATGCATGGAACATGTAGGCACTAAAAAGGTAACCCATCTTTTTAGCAATTTTGAGTAAGGAGGAATTGACAACATTTAGAAGACAGTTCTTATCAATGCTTCCAGCAGCCACTTATGCAATGAGATAATTTAATTAATAATACATTATATTATAGTTAAAGAAAAATAGGTATATACAATTATTAAAACAACACTTTAACAAGACATAGTTACACGTTACATGTACTTACTATAGTAATAACAGTAAATTATGCATTATTACAAGCAAACCGAACCCAAACCTTAACCATTTAATTAGCACATGGAATTTATTTTATTTAGTTTTTGCAACACTTGCTACACTTTAATTACATAAAAGCCAAGTAATGTCCACCACATCAGTGGGACTCATGGGAAAATAATTAGAAGTAAAGAAGAAAAGGTTCTATCAGCGCTACGTATTTGGAACCCCTATAGAAGGTTCTATACACTATTAAAAAAAGGGGTTCTCTGGGTTATATATAGAACCCTGGGGTTCCATATTTGGTCAATAGAACCTTTTACCCCAAAAAAATGGTTCTATATCCATTTTGGAGTTCCATATATGAAGCGGGGGATGGAACCATTTCTGGTTCTAAATAGAACCATTCCTTCTAAGAGTGCAGTTAAAATGTAATTGTAGATTAAAGACTCTTATGGAGCCTGTTGTATGTAGTCTGCTGCATATGTTATATGTTATGCTGATGCTCCATCTATACAGGCAAATTAATGCAGATATTACAGAATGTCCTAAAAAAAATTTTGATTCCAGTATTTCAGTTCCCAACACTATTTGTAGCCCTAAAGAATATTTCAATTTAAAAGAAACAATTTAGCTAAAGTTAACTGTCTCCCTCTTGTGGTCTTGGATTAAAAGACAATGCATATCAAAACCATGCCTAAGTTTATAAAGAAAAATTCTGAGACTTAACCGAATATATTTCCATCATTTCAGTTTGACACCTTGTTCACCTCTCATCATTTTTCTTCCAGATCTCTCTGGTTCTGACAGCCGTGTTTGCTGTGGTGGTGTTCCGGCTCATTGCCATGGAGAAGTTTGCGTCCTTCCAGTGGGAGTTTGTGAAGAAGAATTGGCAATTCGCCACCTCAGGCACTGGAGTCTGCATCAACTTTATGATTATAATGTCTCTGAATGTGGTTAGTGTTTTTTATCTTGTCCCGAAGGCCTCTTACCACCAAGAGAGAAACAATAAAGTCCCCCTAAACTAAAAGGTTTATCCAAAAGCTCGACACAAAAAGAGGAAAAAATAATTGGTTTCACTTTATTTTGATGGTCACTTTAATACATTCCGTTGACTATAAGTATTGTTGCATCTACATGTCTACTAACTCTCATTAGATTGTTAGTAGAGTATTAGAGTTTCACTTTATTTTGATGGTCCCTTTAACACAATCAATTGTCTATAAGGCCCTGTTTACACGAGAACGTTTGCGGATAAAAACGTAAAAATATTTTATCGGATGTGCCTTTCGTTTACATGGCGACGGCGTTTTTGGGGTTTAAAAACACAAAAAAGTTAGCCTGACTTCGTCATACTCATATTCAAGAAAGTATATGAGTCTGAAACTCCTCCATTGGGCTTTGATTATGAGGCGTGTTGTAACCGAACCAGGACAAAAAAAAAAACCCTCTGCATTCAATTGGATAGTCTGTAGACCTACCAACCAATCAGAGCAACGCAGTAAGTCAACTCCTTTGCATAGCGCAGTTTTCAAATACAGAACGTAGCCTACTTTATTTATTTTAGAAGTTAAATAACGAGTGTTGCTTCTTTTACTTACTTCTCCATGAGTGCCACCAAAGGAGAAACCACAACGACCACAGGCTTTTCATTACATCCCATCTTCTTAACGACCGTCAGAGCCAGCTGATAAGTTACACTTTTCCCGAATCATGTAGGAAGGACGCCAAAAATATCTTTCCGATCGACAAATGCCTTGATTGCAGTTCTCTGTTTATCTATTAAAATGAATGCGCTGACGATTTTTTTTTACAAAAGACGCGACAGCGGAATCTATACATCTCAATTCTCCAGCTGCAGTCATCTTTGACAAGCGCACTTTGATGGCATGAGGATTACATTACTGAAGACCACCTGTCAATCATTGTATAAATTTGATTGGCCCGATGATTTCTGAACCGATCATAATTACTCCTCAATGGATCGAGTCCAGACCGAACTTCCCGTCCAAAAAATGTTGTGGGCGGAGTTCGGGGTGGCATCCAGGCTACAAAAAAGTGAAACCACCCTCTAGAGTGGAAATCTTAAAAACGCTCCACCGGCGCGTTCCCGTGTAAAGGGTAAAAACGTAAAAGTCTGCCTGACAGTGAAGGTTGTACGCAGGCGCGCGGACTTGGTGTTGTTGTGTGGCAGTGCTCCACATTGCCACCTAGCCGTCTGGAGTGCATACTACATTGAATTTCACACACTTTTGCGTCACCATATGCACGCGGATTTCCCACCCAAAACGCTTATCTAAACGAAGAATAAAAAGTGATAACGCAACGCCACTTTTGCGTTTTCTCTTCAGAATCGCGTGTAAACATAGCCTAAAACGGGGGGGAAAAAAACGAAGACCTAAAACAGAAGATTTTCACTCGGGAGGGTGGTTTCACTTTTTTGCGTTTTTAAGCCCCAAAAAAGCTGTCGCAGTGTAAACGAAAGGCACATCCGATAAAATATTTTTACGTTTTCACCCACGAGCGTTCTCATGCAAACAGGGCCTTAGTCTGGACGGGAGGTGCAAACGTAGCAAAAGGTCTCCGTTCTTAGTAGAGTATTGGCAGACTGTAGGGTTAGAATAAGTTGACATGTAGTTGCAAAGTTACTGATGACCCTCACAATAAAGAGTTAGCAGAGATTAAACAGACCATACACCAATACTCTAATGAGAGTTAGTTGACATGTAGTTGCAAAGTTACTTACGTATAGTCAGCAGAATCAAAAGGGACCATCAAAATAAAGTGTTACCAGTATTAGTATACTGGTAGGGTTAGGGTTACAATAAGTTTAAAAGTAACACATAGTTTCTGTGTGCCACTAATGTGACAATTTTATTCTCCTGAACACATGGAATGGGAATGCTCTTGCTTTTCCAGTCCATATTTTCAGCTTTGTCTCTAATGGTACTATTTCCATTCCCTTCTCTAATGGTACTATTTTCTTTCACCCAACAGGTCTATGAAAAAGTGGCCTACCTACTCACAAACCTGGGTAAGTGTTGATTCGGTTGAGAGTGAAATCCGTGCAGTCGTCTCACTGCATGTGAGAAACTTTACCTCATGGCTATAACATGCAGTGCAGAACTTCCCAAATGATTCTCGCATGGCTTTCATGTGATATAGAACACCCACGGACAGAGTCGGAATGGGAAAACAGCTTTGCCCTCAAGATGTTCCTCTTCCAGTTTGTCAATCTCAACAGCTCTACCTTCTACATAGCTTTCTTTTTAGGGAGGTAAGCAACTCTTGACCTAGTTCACATATTATTCACTTCTTGTTTTACCTGATGATGCTGCCTCCATTTGCCCTGACTATACCACTGTTATTTTTGTCCCATTTTATTTTAAAGGTGCTTGATTTATTAGTTTGTCTGTAGTAAAGCATAAATGTACCATAATATATTTGCAGATATTTAGGAAACATGCTGAGTCAACATTCTTTTTCCCCTCTGAAAAGCAGTTATTCAACTTTGAAATGTGTGTTCCGTGTCGGAATATCTGTTTTTGTTTTGGTCTGTGTGATTTCGCCCACTGCCAAATACCCAAAAGTATTTCGAAACCCCAAGTTACCAGTTGGCAGAAAACACAGCATTTTGCCTTGATAGCACGCCAAAAATGGAAATACGAATTGGCGTGTCATACATACGCTACTTCATGAGATCAGTCTGGTTTAACTTAAAGTTAGATTTGGCTGTTTCGCCAAATCTAACTTTAAGTTAAAAAATTTAGGGGATCTATTTTTATACCTAGTTGTTTTTTTTTTTTTTTTTTTTTTTTTTTATACCTAGCAACCGTTGGATCGTCTGGCTTGAATGAGAGGTAGAGTTGTGTGTCATCAGTGTAGCATTGTTAGGAAAAGCCATATTTCTGAATCACAGATGCTAGTGATGTCATGTAGATGGAGAAGAGAAGTGGTCCAAGCACTGAGCCCTGTGGTATCTCAGCTGCTAGATGTTGGGCCTTAGACAGAGGTAAGAACCAAAAAACCAGAATTCCAGAGATCCCCTTTGTTTTCAGGATTGACAGGAGGATTTGGTGGTTAACTTCCTCAAAGGCAGCAGATGAGAACTGAGGATTTGGAAGCTAAGAGAGTCTCAGAGCTTCAATTACTGAGAGCAGGGCAATCTCAGTAGAGTGTTCACATTCTACAATATTTTTTTTTTTGAACTGCACTAGCCATTTAAATTGCTAGCTGTCAAAATTATATACTGCGCATTTAAGTGTTTTTGTTCAATATAATAATTGCCTGCCACTGCCAGATTTTTTTTTTATCATTTTCACAAAAAATGTCATGGCCCCCAGAATATTTTACTGTATTGAATTTATATCTGAACATGCAATATATAAGAAGAAAACAATCATATCTTCATGCATTCAATTTTTATCAACACTTGAATGTAGGTATTTTATTTAAAAAAAAAAAAAAAAGGTTTACAACGAAATGCTGTGGAAATTGTTTAATATTAAAGACTATGTCCTGATCGGATTCAGTATGATGATCAAACCAAAGCTGGAGAAGATTGCTTCCACAACACACCCAAAGCTTCACAGTCATGTACCTTGTCCTGGGTCGACTTTTCCTTAATTAACTTTAGGCATTTTTGATTTATATGCTGTTGAATGTATGATAATCACGTTATCTTGCATCTGCTCAAGCAACACTTTTATTGCATGCTTCTGCTGCTTTTTCACCTGTATTTTGATTGTAATATCATGTCCTCTTTCAGAAAATGCTTAATAGTTCCCCTACTGTATAACAGGTGAAAACATGGAGTGCCGTAAATGTGCACTAATGGCAGGGAAAAGAACTACCTATGTACTAGCATTTAAATTAATAATTTAATGCAATGCACTTATTGTGTACCCTGGAAAAAAATTATGTAGGGTTTACTTTGAAAAAAAACCCCTCAAATTGCTAGTACATTTTTTACAAATAATTAAAAAGAGTACAGTATAGATGCATTTTACAGTGTAGATACAGGTTTTTACGGTTAATTACATTTTAAAATTTAATTGCATCAGGAGTAGACCCTTCCATTACATCTTAACCCACCCTTGTAGCAATAGCAACTTTACATAGCACAATGCTTTACAATGTCACATACCAGCCCGTTCTCATCCTTTAACGTCATATAGAACGCTATATGCAAAAACGGCGCTATACTACGCACATGGCACCCTTTATCGTTAATATAACACTAGGGTTGGGTATCGAGAATCGAGTATCGATTGGAACCGAGACTAACTTTTCGTTTTTCCCGGAATCGTTCAAAAGTTAAAATTTCGATTCCTAGTTTCGATATTCACAGTCCGCCGAGCGGAAGAAGAAACCTCTAAACAACACCAACGAAGAAGCGTCTACCGGAAGTGTTGGCATAACCACGCGAGTCGAACATGAGTAGCTTACGTCGGCGATCCAAAGTGTGGCTTCACTTTTCTAAAAATAAAGAAATCTCGGCAAAATGCAAAATTTGTGACAAAAGGAGTATTTTTAGAGAAGGATTATTTCCTTCAGAAAGGCCGTTGGTTAGCAAGGTTAGCTAAACTTTTTTGACCCTGCCTCTTAAAAGAATCGGAATCGAGAATCGTTAGGAACCGGAATCGAAACAAGGAATCGGAATCGGAATCAGAATCGTTCAAATTCAAACGATACCCAACCCTATATAACACCCGAACCCAAGACGTCATAAATCCTTTAGCGTGAATATGACACGCACACCCTACCCCACACCTAAACTTAGCCCTCACAGCGCGTGTTATATTAACGATAACGGGTGCCATGTGCGTAGTATAGTGCCATTTTTGCATATAGCATTCTATATGACGTTAAAGGATGAGAATGCGTTGCACATACACACAAAAACCCCAACCCATACCCCTAAACCTGTCCCTAACCTTTCCCGTATCACACCTCAACAACAGTACATGTAAGCTTTTTATGTAACTACATACTAATTACAGACACCTAATATAAAGTGAGTCCGATAAGTTTCGCCTGTTTGCCTAATGCATACAAGGAATGTCCTGGTTGCGTATTCAACCCTCTGTTCCCTGAAGGAGGCAACGGTCGACTGAATGGAGGCCAGTCATCTTCTTGAACGAGCCAATGGAATTTGGCGTGTGTGACTTGCATCACCCACTTCATTTCCGTGGCGTGGGTATAAATATGGAAGTGGATGCACACAATAGATGCTTTTTCGCTGAGTACCCAAGCGTAACTCGGAGTCAGCGGTGGTCCAGCAGTAGTGGCAAGGGGACTATGTCCTCCGTTCACCACTTCAGGGAACGTTGGGTTTCATACGCAACCAGGACGTTCCCTTTCAGTCGAGAACGTCAGACGTAGTTGACGTCAACTAAATGGTATCACCATTGAAAACGCCACTAGTGCTGCCACCTTCCTGTAATCCTTGCCTTGTGATCCTTCCGCAACTTGAGGCGGAGATGGAAGAGTTTAGGCCAAGGAAGGAAGTCACTGCTTTTCCACAGGACCACTGGGAAGGCATCAATGGAAGGAAACCACATCCTGGCAGAAGGGAGGTAACATGTGGAGAATAGACTTATGGACTGGGCGGATGACTTGGCAGGACAACATATAGAATGTCACTGGGATGACTCCAGCCTATAATGGGGGGAGGATCAAATAAACAGTGACTGCAGAGCAGGCTCTGCCAAGGGAAGACACAGGCTTGCCAGAGGGAGTCGTACTGTGAAAGAATACACATATGGGATCACCGTAGGGATCACAACATATGGACCCATTCTAACACAAGTTCCACCAGTGCACACAAGTTATAGGCCTGGCTTCAGACATTCCGCCACATCCGTCGCCGAAAGGTATGGAGGAACTCGACAGGGTTCGGCTAATAATGGAAACTCTACTGAAGCAAGAATTGCACACGTATCCGGTCCATAGGAGGGGAATTGTACAGCAAGCCAACACTTCAAACTGGGCTTACAGTGAAACTGGCTTCATGTTTGATAGTTCTGTAGTGAACGTGATAGGTGTCGCCCAGCCCCTAACATCTGTTCCACAAGGCACTCTGTGTCAATGCCTAGGAGGGAGCAATACACTCACTTATTGTAGGAGGAGCTCACCACCCAGGCGGGCACGTGCATCTTGTGAAACTTTTCCACCAAGATGAAGGCAAACACATGTAGTGGGCCAACCTCTGTTTGGAAACAGCCTTCCCTTCAGCTGGTATCGTAACAGACACGAGCTGTCTGAGGTCCAGGCTTTGCATTCTAAGCACATAAAACCACAGTGCAGGGGACGGACAGAAAATCCAGGGTTGGGTCTGCCTCCTCTGCGGAATGCTTTTGCTGTCACTTGCCATCTGGCTTTGGTAGTGCCTGGAGCATGCTTGGCGTCTCTACTGCGCTCGGCTCCAAGCTGAGGCCTGGCTGGAGGCTGCTGCGGAGGCCCATCGGGAGTGGCGGCAGGGAAACCCCCTCTGTGATTGGCAGGGGAACTTGCCCACAGGCTTTGTAAGCTCAGCCCGTCGGAATGAACGAGAACTCGCAGACCTTAGGGGGGAGACGAGGATCCACCATGACAGTCATATTCCCGCAATGGCAGCATGAACCGTCCACAAAAGCTGCTTCGGCGTGCTGTAAGTCCAAGCCCATGATACAATTGTGACCATCAGAGAGGAACAGGGAACGACCGCATCCAGAAACACACATGTGGAATGACATCTTGAAAAAGACGCAAACGCACCAGTGTTGCTCTTTTAGGAAATCGGACCCATAACCAGTGCCAGAGCACACAAGGGAATGACGGCAACAAAACTGAACAGTGAACTGAAACAGTGAAAACACCTTTCAGCCCTCTAAGCAGCCATCAACGAACATTTAGAAATTTGATGCTGTTAAAACAGCCGTTGAGAGCTCAAAGCTTGTGATCACCACTGCACTCATGCTGTAGAAGCCACCAGCACTGGGAGAATCCTTCAAAAGAACACCAACACACTCGCTCGTTGTAAACAACAGCACTCTTCAGAGACATCAAACGATCAGCTCTGAAGCGAAAGGCAACCAGTGCATGAATCCACTTCCGTATCTATACCCGTGCCACTGGGGCGGAGTGTGTGACGCAAGTTACACAGGCCAAATTCCATTGGCTCGTTCATTCAATAGTACTCAAAAGGCGCTTTTCCACTGCATAGTACGGTACGGTTCGTTCGGTTCGGTACGTCTCACTTGTGGTGCTTTTCCACTGCATGGTACGGTACAGTACGGTTCGCTTCAGGTTGCTTTAAATGGTACCTGGTCTGTTGAGGTTCCAAGCGTACCGTACCGGTACTAAAATGTGACGTGAAACACTGCAGATCACTGATTGGTCAGACAGAATCGTCACTACCAGCGTCACTACTAGCGACATTGGATTTGCGACACGAGACACTTTTTTAGCAGTATTTTTGTTTTGCTGCCATCAGCCTCATTTTAAACACATTTTTCCGTCTAGCAGTTAAAAACAACCACATACCGAGAATCAGGAACACCATCCCCTCGATAGTCTCCATTGTTCCTGTGTTGTGGGTTTGAAAATGTGGCGCTTTCAAGATGATGTCATGGCAGTAGAGGCGCGCGCAAATAACGATCAGCCCCACACACTTTGAAGGGGTACTACTGCAGTGGAAACGAAAAGCGATCCGAACTGTTCCGCGCCGAGTCGAAGCGTACAGGGTCGAACCGTACCGTACTATGCAGTGGAAAAGCGCCAAAAGATGACTGGCTCCCTGACATGATCCCATTCATTCCACATCGACTACGTCTCACGTTCTCGATTGAAAGTAACTCGATATTTTCACTGTTGGCGATGGCATACATGCAAACACAAACCCCAACCTTTGGCTAATGGAATTCCAAAGCTAATTTGGAAATGTGTTATTGTTATGTGCGTGAATTATGTTTGTGTGTACTCCACAGGTTTGCCGGCAGACCGGGGGATTATAATAAGCTGTTTAACCGGTGGAGGATGGAGGAGGTGGGTGAGATGAGGCTGTAATGAGTCTTCTCGCACTTAGTTATTAGTGCCCTTCAGCATGATCAACATCCCCCTATCAAATATCTGCCTCAGTTATTTAAATGAGGTTTAAATAAAAATGGTTATTATTCAGTGCAGATTTCTCATAAATGCCTCAACAATAACAACTCTGGTTGCTCGTAATGCAAGTAGACTGTCTGTGTAAATCATGTTGTAAAATCAAAACCACCCTTGTGAAAAAGAAGTGTGCTTGAACAGACTTAAGTATAGTTTTAAAAAGTGCTCTTGTCAAATGCCTTTTCTTTTAAAGTTTATTATTCCTGTAATCAGTAATATTTTTAAAAGTATGATTAAATGTACTTCACAAGAGAGATCAAAATGTTTATGCTTTATTTCCCGCTAGTGTCATCCCAGTGGTTGTCTGATCGACTTGTGCCTACAAATGGGAGTGATCATGGTGTTGAAACAGATCTGGAACAACTTCATGGAGCTGGGCTACCCGTGAGTATAAGCAGACACAGTGGCATCAGTGGGGTACACATGGAGAGGCCAACAAATATATATATATATATATATATATATATATATATAAAAATCTGACATGATTGTTAAATGGTTTTGATAACTGTGAAAAATAAATCGTTCTAAATTTCAAGCTGCATTTGACAGTATCTACAGTGGCTTATTTTGTAAAAAACCTAACCTAGAAAAATAACTTAATCTTAAACAATATTGACTTATGCCACAAAACTCATCTAAAATATATCAGATTATATATATATATATATATATATATATATATATATATATGTGTAGGGACCCCTTAAAATATGCCTTAATTTGAAAAGTGCAGAGTATTAATTTATACATTTGATTATTTGTTTTATTATTTTTGAGTGCAATGTAACAAAGTGTACCAACATTATTTGTTTCTGTATTATGTAAACTGATTTTCTTTACTCAAATAAGGTGTTCTGTTGAACTGAAGTGTGTATTAATGTTGACCAATCAGCATTGAGATTATTTAAAGTTTACGGACGTAAGTTGCGTTGAGTTACGTTTTTAGAGACGACAGAAAGAGATCGCACATGGCGAAGAGCTGCTCACATGTCCTCGGTTTTATGAAAGTAACGTCATTCTTAGAGACTTTGTTACTTGTGTGAGTACAGGCCTAAAGTGACAAATATAACTTTCACCCGATTTTTGTTTGCATAGTGTGATTTTTATTTTACTGTATTTAGTATAATTTCAACCCACTCTGTCGTTGGATTGCGTCATCTGTTTAGTGCATTAACAGTGCGATGTGACGGAGAAACTCGCATTAAGGACAACTGCATCATTGACAGCTGTATCGTTGTCACAAGAAGAACTTCCAAATGACTTGTAACTGTGGGGGACGAGATTCATCGCAAGCTGCTTCGTCGTTGCGTTTGAACTGGACTTTCATCCCGCGCCGGGCTGCGTGACTGTTCTGTTCGTGGTTCGACCTGTAAGTGATCACTGCACTGTTTCGTCTTGTCCCTGGATGGAATGTAAGTGAATTAGTCTCGACAAATCCTTTTGGTACTGAGTTAACTTAAATCCATTCCCGTGAAAGTGCACCAACGATTGGGCCCCAACGGCTAGCCAAAAGAGTGTGTGTGGGGTTTTATTTTATTTATTTATTTTCCTTCTGTAAGATACTGTGATCAAACTCATTTATTGTGTAAACTGATCCAAAGGAGAAATTGTGAGTTTCAATAATAATTTGGTGTAGTTTTTTCCCCTCTTGAAATAAGAAGGGAGAGTGTATTTTTTTTTTGAGTGATCATTCAGAATCCTCAGAGGTTATTGAGAATTGTTTGAGGGAAAAAAGTGTTTATATTGAACAACACAGAATCTATTTTTTTATTTTTACACTTTGATACCACAGCTGTTATTCATTGATTGATTTTATTTTTTTTTTCTGAAAAAAGGTGTCTTAATAGTGTCAAATAAATCATTGTTATTATTTTTTTTCCTCCTTATTCAGAATTACTGTCTTGATTTATTAGTTAGATTATATTGGGAAAAAAAGGGAATATAGAATTTTAGGGGAAGTAAGTTATAAGTAGATTATTTTGCTTTATTATTCCCTGGTGGAGGTATCACGCACTATTTAATAGTTTGATAAAGAAGAAATTAAACTCCGGCCAATTCACCATTCGACTGCCGGGAATTCAGGGTTTTCTGTTTTGGGAAACATAAAAAAATTAACCCCCAGGGTTAATAAAAGGGTTACATTTTTGGAGGCACCGCTGGGATAATTTTTTTTCTTTCTTTTTTTTCCCTGTTTACCAGCGTCTATATTTTCTTCTATTTAGTGTAGTGGTAACAGCTGATCTGAAAACAATTTGTTTTAATTTGCCATAATACCAGTTATTTGAATTTACTTTCAAAATTATGGATCTGTCGCAGACTGTTGAGTGGAGCAGAGAAGAGAGCGTTGATGTCTCACGTGCTATTGTTTTGAGCAATGTTCCTTTGGATGCCAGTAACGACACTATTGAAAAAGTGTTAAACACAGTAAAAGTTTTTGGTCGCACTAGAATACGTGGTCGCCGTGGTGATGTCACTGGCAGATGGTTGTTCATTTTAGTGGAGACCAGTGCTGATCTAGATCCTGATGTTATCCCTCCTGAGATAGGTATAGAAAATGAAGCTGGACCCTGGAGTGTGAACTTAGTGGGACATGGTCCTTCCCCCAAAGGTGATACATTCCAGTTAAAGCTGCAAGCCTTGTTACAGCAGGAGGGCATGTCCATGGATGAAGTGAAGGCCATGCTTTTGGAAAATCAGCCTCCTAAATCTGACATCAGTGTGGATCTAGTTGATGCCATAGGCAAATTAGTAGATCGGTGTAATCAGGTGTCTAGTGATGGCCCTAGTTACAGAAAACTGAGGTTGTTCTCAGGGTTGAAACCTGTCCCTCCAGGTGAAGAAGAGTATGAAGTCTGGATGGAGCAGGCCGCTCAAATGATAAGTGAGTGGCAATGCACCGAATCAGCAAAGAAGCAACGCATCGTTGAGAGTTTGCGAGGTCCCGCGGCTGATATTGTCAGGTTTCTTAAAGTGAGTAGCCCATCAGCGACTGCAAATGAGTACTTGGCTGCCCTTGAGACTGTATATGGAACTACTGAGAGTGGGCCTGACCTTATGGCTAGATTTCGCCATACCTACCAGGAAAATGGAGAGAAACTTTCAGCTTTCTTGTACCGCCTAGATAAACTTCTCCACAGAGCCTTGTTGAAGGGTGGGATTGAGGCAGCAGGTATAAATAGAGCCAGAATGGAGCAGCTGATTAAGGGGGCTCTGACCAATGATATGGTTGCTTTGCGAATCAGAATGACTCACACTGTGCAAGATCCCCCTTCTTTCTCACAGTTGATGAAGGAAGTTCGAGAGGAAGAACATTGGGTAGCTGCTCGAGAGAATGTTAAAGCTTCTGTGTCCAATGTTGCCACTCCCCCTGTGCCTGTGCCACCTGAATTACAAAATCTGAAGAAGGAGGTTAAAGAATTGTCTACTCAGGTGAGTCAGCTGTTGAGCATGGCCACTGTGACCCCTGCCTCTGAATGTGCCCCACAGAAAGTGCCCAGTCAGACAAAGGAAGCTATTAACCGAGACACCGCTTACAAGCCCAAAACTTCCAAGTTAACTTTGCCTGGTATCTTCTGTTATAACTGTGGTGAAGATGGTCATAAGAAGTGGGAGTGCAAAGGACCTGAGGATCTTAGGAAGGTAAATCAGAAGTTGATGAAAATGCACCGCTTACAGGGAAACTTCAGCGGAGCTCAGTGACGGAACGACACGGAGCTCCAGATAATCTACGTTCCACTCATGTTTCATCGCTGCTTGATGTTGGCCAGCCACGATTGCCTGTAGGTTTAGTAGGGCCTGTCTCTGAGGTGCCTGTTCAAATTGAAGGGATTTACGCAAAAGCTCTTCTTGACAGTGGCTCTCAGGTCACTCTACTGTATCGTAGTTTCTATGATGCGTATTTGAAGCACTTGCCTCTTCACCCTGTGGAAAACCTTGAGATCTGGGGTCTTAGCTCGCATAAATACCCGTATGATGGATACTTACCCCTCAGACTTGAATTTACAGAAAATGTGGCTGGGGTGCATCAGGTGGTTGACACTCTCGCAATCGTGTGTCCAGACCCTTTGAAAAGAGAGGGGATAGCCATTTTGGTTGGGACCAATACTAGCTTAGTGAAGAAGCTGCTTGAGTCTTGTCGTGAACAGGCTGGAGAGAAGTTCCTGAACGTGTTGACTATGCATCCTGTAATACGAGAGGCATTTGAGTCTATTCAGCAGACAGACGTGTGTCAGGATGATCCAAACAAACATGGAACAGTTTGGTTTGTGAAGCATTCCCCTGTTGTCTTGAAGCCAGGTCAGGTTATGCAACTCCCAGGTCTACCTAAATTATCCAGCCAGATGACAGAATCTTTGTTGTTAGTAGATAAAGCGGAAGTTGCTGACACCTTTACTGTTGACTTGCAAGTGAGACCTGAAGTTCACTCAGCATCCATTGTGTCCAGCAGACGAGTCATGGTGACTGTTAGGAACACTTCTACAAGAGAAGTATGGATAAAGCGAGGAACTCCTCTTGCTCATGTATTTCCTGTGACCATGGTGCCGCAACTTTCCTCCAACCCACAGTCAGACCAAAGTAACTTGTCACCTACATGCTTTGATTTTGGAGATTCACCGATGCCAGAAGAAGCAAAACAGAGTTTGTGTGAGGAGATGATGCAGAGAAAAGAAGTGTTCTCCCTTCATGAGTGGGACGTGGGCTGTGCAAAAAGTACCATGCATGAGATAAGGCTGAATGATTCGCGTCCTTTCAGAGAAAGATCTAGACGTCTCGCCCCAGCTGATTGGGAGGATGTGAGGCAGCATCTACAAGAACTAAAGAGTGCTGGCATCATTTCAGAGTCCCGAAGCCCCTACGCTTCACCCATTGTAGTGGTGCGTAAAAAGTCAGGGAAGGTCAGAATGTGTGTGGACTATCGGACGCTCAACCAACGGACCATACCAGATCAATATACCGTACCCCGAATTGAAGATGCTCTTCACAGTCTTTCTGGGAGTAAGTGGTTTACCGTTTTAGATCTGAGAAGTGGATATTATCAAATACCAATGAGTGGCCCCGACAAGGAAAAGACCGCATTCATCTGCCCTCTGGGTTTTTATGAATTTGAGCGTATGCCTCAGGGTATCTGTGGAGCACCTGCCACATTCCAGAGGGTCATGGAGAGAACTGTAGGAGACATGAACTTCTTGGAGGTGCTTGTTTACTTAGATGACCTAATCGTTTTCGGGCGGACTCTTGAAGAGCACCAACAGCGGCTGTTGAAGGTTCTGGATAGGTTGAGGGATGAAGGACTGAAGATCTCCCTTGATAAATGTCAATTCGGCAGGACATCTGTGAACTATGTGGGCCATATCGTTTCACAGGATGGAATATCTACTGAC